TTCACTTCAAGGGTTTGTTTTTTTTTTTTTTTTTTAAAGTAGATCACATAAGAAATCACATTTTTTGGTGCTTTTCAATCCTCTTTAAAAGCAGTGCAATGTATTTGCTTTCCTGAACAGTTAAATAAAATCTGTCCAGAGCGCCAAATACAGTATTCTTACTCTACATTTTCTGGAATGATTTAACCTGGTTAATATGACTGTAAGCATCTAATACTCAAGTCACTGAGCAAATTATGCTACCTAAAGGGAGTATAACAATAATTTCAAATGGTAAAAATCCAAGTACGCTATTCTTCACCGAAAAGAAGTGCTGTGAAGTCAGGCAGCAGAATTCAAACGATGCTTTAGTATCGTTTGTAATAAATTAAATTGTTATATTATAGCACATACTACATTATATTTGTAACGCAGTTTAAGTAAATAGCAAATAGATGCTTGTTAAGTCTAGCCAAACTCGCTGCATCCTTTTTTCTCTTGAAAATGTGGAGTTGGATTTCCCTTGAAAGCTATTCAGAGGGCACGGACGTGGAAAATACAAAAATCTCCTTGCTGAGGTATTTGGTGGCCTCCTCTCCCGAGTGATGCCCACAAGGTGCTTAGCACATCGCGGGGTAGGGACTGGACAGAATCAGGATGACTTCAGGCAAGGGGCTATGGCGGTTCATTTACCTGATCAAGTAGCAACAGAAGAGCAAGCTAAGGATGAAGACGAAGATGGCGGTGCCGAAAACCACGATGTATATATTGAGAGGCAGGTTCTGGAACCCGATGTTCGGCATCCTGAAACTGTAGTGCTGGAAATCTGAGCTCATGGATGGGCTGCAAAGAGACAAAACCAAAAACGTGGATTTGAGACTCAGCCTCGACGGTGTGAATTCTCAGTCTCCGCTGGTCCGGTTTTCGAAGGGATGAACTGAAAGCTTCAGAATGGGAAAGTAAAGTCAAGGGCCCATCCCCATATGTGTCCCGCCCCAGACCCAGCAATATCCTGTTGCCCTCTGCCTTTTTGCTATGATAAGGAAGGGCAGGGTATGCCAATCTGTTCCCTCACCGGGTTCCCTTCCACAAGCTACTGTTTTGGCTTACCAACCCAGAGGACAACCTGGAAGAGCAAACAGGGAAGGAGCGATGGGTAGTAGACAGATGCACGCTTTCCCTTCGCAGAGAGCACTTGAAATGCCAGAGCCCCACGTTCACGCCGTGCTGCTGCGGCCAGGAACGCTCTGTACCTGGAGCCTGAACGAACAGAGAAACGGCAAGAGGGGCTTGCACCGGGAAGAGTTTTTTTTTCCTTTCCGAAGTTGGAGACCAACTCCCCTCCAAGTGGAAATTCCCCTCTGAACACGTCAAGCTTGCAAAGACTTGACGACTGTCCAGAACCATTCAAATAAACTCCCAGGCTGATCCTTGCCTTAGGTCGGGCAGCAGGAGTGTTCCTACTCGATTATTGCATTTCCCTTTTGTTATAGGCGTGGTTTCCTAGGCTGCAGTTACAGTAAGCCTGCTCTGGGGAGGAGATTTCCATGGACATGACGAGAACAATATTACAACTGTGATCAACTTGGGCACAGGAGCGTTCACGTGGGTCTGCACCAGGTCGCCTGGTTTAAAGATGGCTCTGAGACGAACGCCCCCCCTCTAAACCTTTGGTGATTCTCCCCGGTCGCTCAGTGAGGTTGCCTACATTTCTGTCTAAATAGGTGAGACAAAGAGGAAGGAGACTTTGAGAAGGGGGAAGGAGGGAGGGAGGCACCAAAATCAAAAATTCCCTCCTCCACCAGTGGGGACTGTATTCAAGCATACGAATAGCTGCTTGGAATAACAGATTTACCATATGATCCTTCCCATGATCACAGCTTCGTGATCCATCATGTGGGACAGCAGCAGTTTACAGCAACTGTAACAGGCAGTCTTTTAAATGGATATAAAGCAATCGATCTAAAAATTATGGATATACTGCAATCACACTATATCCGGTAACACCTGGATGAACATCTTCACGTTTCCAGAAAAACTCTGTCGTTCGCAGTGTTACACTACTGCGGGCAATGTTCAGAGAGGTCTGAAAGCTGGAGGGAAAAGTGCATGTTACGGCCCCAGCTTGCCCGTATGAAGCCGGGCGCTAAAAGAGCTCAGAAAGCGAAGGAACCCGATTTGCTCTCCAACAAAATCATCTGCCCAAACCAGAAGTGCATGAGCTCACCCCGCAAGGCTTGATTAAGCTTCACAACACAAAGCAACTAAATATGACCACGATCTTACAAATGCAAAAGCTGATCTCAGAGGGGCTGGGAGTTTTTAAAAGGAGCTTTCTTGGTCCGTGCTCATTCCTGAATACCGTGGCCTGCGTACACTGCAAACCCAAGTGTTATATACAGGCGCACAAGTCAGTTGAGAAAAGTTTAATGGGTCGGTGATTCTAGGACCAGGTCCGCTCTACAGACCTCCGCTGACGTAGCTCCATTGGCTAGGACTGGGAAGAGAAATGTTTCCCAGCCAGCAAAAGCCCCTGATGTATACCCCTCCAAAGCTGGGCTCTTACAAGTGTAGCTCACTTCTTTTTGGGCTGGTGCTGAAGTCAGCTTGAATGGGACAAGCCTGGTTTTGCTGCTGTAAGCTGTATCCGAACCAGAAGCGTTTTGCCCTAGTTCCTGGGGCTCTTTCTGTGGACCCAAGCTACGCTACAAAAGCAGGCAAAGAGAGAACTGATGTCAAAAGAGGCAGATGGAGGCGTTTGCTGGAGGGCAAGAAAAACCCAGGACAAAGCGTGCCGTATTTACGCTGGCAGAGAAATCTTGAGGCTCCTGGGGACTTCTTGGGGTCAGTGTCTAGCTATTTCCACTCTCCTCGAAAAGCTTCTTCCTTCCCACATCCCCTTTCCCCACCCAAACCCACCTGCGGGAAACCTTCCTCAGCCGATTTCACGGGCCTCTCGACTCCCCCTTGCCTCCGAGCCGCTGTTCCCTACAGGGCATTTATGCCGAAGGCTCTCGGGGTACGGGACCAGCTTTGAAAGCACGCACGTGTCTCTCTCGATAGCAGTGTGATGAAGCAGGTGGGGGCCCAAGCCTACGAGAAAGCTTAGGGTCCGTGGCAAATAAGAAAAACACGAGTGCAAAGGCAACCGCCACTCGTTTCCGCTCCGGCATTCGCCGGTCCGGCCCGGCCCCGCTGCGGTTTAGATCGGTTTGGAATTTCGTTCGAATCCAACGGCCCTTCCACGGCGCGCGGCGCCCGCCCGGCTCATTTGGGATGCAGGCTGCTTTCCAGCCGGGTTCGCTCACCTTCACTAACAACCTTGCATTTTGCCCCCTTCCCTGGGTTACTTTAAATCATCCTCTGCATTGCAGCAGTGTTGCACGGCCCCTTTCGCATGGATGTCAGGGTTTTCAGGCTGTTCTCGTCGTTGTTTCTGGCAGGATGAAAGTCTTCAGAAACCAGGCTATCTAATCAGGAGAGCCTCCGAGCCAAGTGGAAATGCCACAATAACTTCAGGCTCGAAAAATGCGTACACACCCCACCGGTGCCTTTAATTACAGCGCAATCTTCTCCGAGGCCTTGCCACTCCGATAGGGGATTAGCCAACTCAAACTTGCCACTTGAAATATAAAATGCATGCTTTCTTCCCTAAATGAGGCACAACGAATAGCCTTGCTGCGTAGCTCGATGAAAGAGGTGCGTCTGCTATAGTAGCTTTGCTTGGACAAAGGGAAGTGTAGTTCAGGGACTCTTAACAAGAAGCCTAATTGGGACCAAATGGTGTAAACGTGGAGCCGTACTGCAACTGGATCCCCATGAGAGTCCATGCAGGTGGGGACGCTGGCCAAAGAAAGGAAGTTTCAGGCTGAGGTCAGCGTGCCAGTTCAAACCTGCCCCGTGATCCAAGGACAGGAAAAAACCAAGTACCACACATGTTGCTTGGGGCCGTGCCAGCGCAGCGTGTGCATACGCCTTATCGCAGCTACGGACAGGGAGGGCTTCAGTTTTCTTCCAAGTTTCCCTGCTTGTATCAAGTTAAGCAGGGTCTTAATGATAACTGCTCATTTTGGTTGTGAAAAGTCAACGCAATAACGCTGGTAATTCAGATTTCCTCCCCTCGCTCAGAAAGGAGCTTGGAGGAATGCAGTGTCTCCTCCTCTGCTCTTAAAATAAGCGGTGGGGTTATATACCACACATTGAAGCACCTGCCCTGGAAGCTTCCCGTATGCTGACTTCTTCCCCATCTACCTTTACCTTTCAATACGACTGAGAAAGAAATATTGCTTCCATCACCCATTGCATCCTAGTAAGGAAATGTGAAAAAAGAATGAACACAGACTTCTACTTTCTACCAAGTGAAATTAAAAAAAAACAAAACTAAAATCACATTTGGAGTGGGAGGAAAAAAGCATTAGGAATAATTTTTCACTCTGTTGTCAGAGATTACATACAGGCCAGAAATATTTCTTGGTGATTTGGCTCAGCTTAGTCTACTTCTTCCTTAGACCCGAGGAAGAGCACTCGTCCAACTGCTCTCCTAACTACAGAGGGTCTAATGAAAGACACCATAGAAATCCCTGCCTTATTCAGGAGAGTGCAACTTTATCTCACAACTTCACGCCAGTCAGCAGAGCAGTGATTCTCAACCAGGGTGTGGTGAGATCCTTTTAAGGGCACTATGCACTGTTAGCCTGGTTGTGTGCAAACACCTATGTGGGATTCGCAAGATAAACTCAGAAACTTCAAATAGGAATCCAGAGGATTGAAAACATTTTGCTCTGTTGTGGTCTTTAAGGTCTCCACAACAGAAGAATCATAGAAAATTAGGGTTGGAAGAGGGTCGTCTGGTCCAACCCTTTGCTCAAACCAGGACGAGCCGCAACTGCATCATCTCAGCCAAGGCTTTGTTGAGCTGGGCCTCAAAAAACCTCCAAGGATGGAGAGTCCACAACCTCTCTCGATAACCTGTTCCAGTGCTTCACCATCCTCCCAGTCAGAAAGTTTTTCCTAATATCAAACCTCGACTTCCCTTGCTGCAGCTTGAGCCCATTGCTCCTTGTCCTGTCATCTGCCCGCACTGAGACCAGTCCAGCTCCATCCTCTATGGACCCTCCCTGCAGGGAGGTGAAGGCTGCTATTCAATCCCCCTCGGTCTGCTCTTCTGCAGACTCAATCAGCTCAGGTCCCTCGGCCTCTCCTCACCAGTCCTGTCCCACAGCCCCCAACCATTTTTGCTGCCTTCTGCCGGACTCTCTCCAACGTGCCCACATCCTTTCTGCAGTGGGGGGCCCACAACCGGACACAAGACTCCAGATGTGGCCTAGCGTTTTTGCTCTAGTATTTGTGCATAGTCAAAAAACAAGCCAAAATGCTGGCAGGGCCTTGAGTTTAATGAAGCTGAGCACTACTGCACTAGTGTCTTTCAGTCTAGATGAGACCTAAATTTCTAATGCAACAAATAAACCAGAATTACTCAGCTTAAAAAAAAAAAGAAGAGGTAAACAGTTAAGCATTAAAAAGGGTGCTGGACTTACTCAGTTTTTGCAGGCTGTCTCTAAGGGAGCTGGGCTTGATGATCTAAGTTCTTTCTATTAGATGCTGCAAATCCTCCAGTTCCTAGAGAAATAGGAAATATTGCATGGAAGGACTTAATCAGTTGAAGAACTTGTGGACACTGCTCTTGGTCCAGCAGAAGCATCGTGGCGGCCCTCAACCTCTGCTGCCCTAACCCTAACCATCAATCCTGTTAGCAGTCTCAGTCAGGCGAAAGGCCATGGCCCGAAGGCAGTCCCGGGACCAAAGTCTTCCTGGTCTCCCATGTCTGCTCCCTGTTTCTGAGCAATGCCCATCCTCATAGTACCTTGCCTCCACATCAATGTCTGGACACATTGTGACATCGCGCTACTGCTTGCAGGGCAATGTACCTCTTCCACGGCTAAGGAGAGAAATGCTTTTTACAGTCGAAACTTCATTCAGCCATTAAAATTGAACTCGCCACACCAGGGTGAAACAACTCCCTTCTCCCCCTGCTTCTGTCCCATAACTCAAACGAGAGAAATGAAAGCAGCAGGGGAAAAAAAACAGGGTTGGACTGAAAAAGTCTCCAAGAGATTAAGGAAACAATTAACTTGGAGATCTTTTTACAAGAACGGCCTGCTTTTGAACATCAGCTTTCTTTTGAACGGTATTCTAATCTAGTTCAGATTTGCCGAAGCAGCAGCCAAAAAACGGGAACGT